CGAGGGAAAAGACAGAGACAGGGCCAGTCAGGAATGGAGGTCAGGCCAGAAAGCCTGAAAGCAGGAGACTAACAGCTGGGATAAATGCAGCCCTTATGCTACGCTTTTCTGTGGTTTAACTGAGAATCACCAGGAAATAAACAAAGGAAAATCACAAGGGAGCTATAAATAAAAGCAAAAGATCATGGAGAAGTAAATGACAAAGAAAAAAAATTTTTTTTCATTTATTAATTCCAACGAAAATTTACAAAGACTTTGGATTTCCTTTCATTCATTGTTGCACTTTTCTCGCCTCCCAACCCTCCCCCCTAGTACACTACCCTCTTGGAAAAGTAAAAGAAAAATTCTTTAATTGTTTTAGAGACCCTCTCCCAGGTCCACTCCACTATGTAGCCTTCACTCTGGACTCCTGTCATGACAAAAATACTTAATCACATATCGCTTTTAAACAGTTTTCTCCGTCGTCTGTTTCAATGTAGTATACGTTATTGAACCCATCTTTCTCAGTCTCCCCCCAACCCCGAGGTCAGTCCTGTTTTAAACAGTGGCACTATGCAGTATTTGTCCTTTTGAGACTGAGATACTTCACTCAGCATAATGTCCTCCAGGGTCACCCATTTTGAATAATATTACAGGAGTTCCTTGTTTTTCAGTGCAGCATAGTACTCCATTGTGTGACTAGACCACAGCTTCTCTATCCATTCGTTTGTTGATGGGCACTTAGGTAATTTCCATTCCTTGCCTTTGTGAACAAAGCCGCGATAAACATGTTTGTGCTTTTATCTGCTTGGGTGTCAGTTATAGTTTCTTTGGGGTCTATTCCCAGTAGTGGAATTGATGGGTCAAATGGTTTCTCTATTTGCAATTTTTTGAGAATGTGCCATACCGCCTTCCACAGTGGTTGCACCATTTTATACTCACAGCAGTCGTAAATAAGGGTTCCAGTTTCTGCACAAACTCTCCAGCGATTGTTGCTTGCTGTTCTCTTCAATTTTGCTATTTTGACTGTGGTAAGATGTTACCTCATAATTGTTTGGGATAGTATGTATACCTTTTAGAGTCTTCTTTCTCTATACTGGCTAAAGGAAGGCCATTTATATCATAATACCTTTAATGTGTCTTAAATGCTGCCTAGTGAGTAATTGTTTATCTACCAGGAAAGATGGGATAAATCATGTGTACTGCGTGGAAACAGCTGAGGGAGAGAACAGTTGAAAACCTTTTCTAATTTTAATGTCTTTTATTTAGCCGTGCTATATAGCTATTAGTAGTTGCTGGTCTGTTCCACAGTCAGCTCCTGGCCTAGGTCATAACAAACTGTGGCTGACTCTGAGAAGAATGGGAATCCCAGAACACTTGATCGTTCTAATGCGAAACCTATACTTGGAGCAGGAGGCAGTCGTCAGAACAGAGCAAGGGAACACTGCATGGTTCAAAATTGGGAAGGGCGTACGCCAGGGATGCATCCTATCTCCATACCTTTTCA